CTTCGCAATTACGTGCTATGCATCAGAGAGTTGGACAGTGAATAGGGTTGATAGAAAGAGGATTGATGCCTTTGAGCTGTGGTGCTGGAGTAGAGTGTTGAATATACCATGGACTGCTAGGAGAACAAACAAGTTTGTCCTGGAGAGGGTGAAGCGAGAATGTTCCCTGGAGTCAAGGATTCTGAAGCTTCGTCTGACATTTTTTGGGCATGTTGCAAGGAGGGACTGGTCCTTGCAGAGGGACATCATGTTTGGCAGAGTGGAGGGGTGGCGAAGGAGAAGAAGACCTTTGATAAGATGGATCAATTCTGTGACTGAAGAGGTGGGAATAAGTGTGTTTGAGATGGCTAGGTTGGCACAGGATAGAAGAGCGTATAGAGCTCTTGTACACAGGGTCACTATGAGTCGCAAGCGACTCGATGGCACATAACAACAACAACAACAACTAGTTTATTTACAAAATTCTAATACATTGTTTTCAAGAACAAATTCTTTCAATTTCCCTCACCCCCTCACCCATCAAATTGTACCACCCCATGATTCATCTGTACCTCCCCCTGCACATCCTCTGCTTCCAATCTCTGCCACCCCTCTTGAATCCTCATACTCATTCTACAATAATGGCTTTATACAATATTTATCCTTGTGGGACTGAGTTAGTTCACTCAACATAATGTTCTCCAGTCTCTCCCAAGTTAGGTAATAATTTACAAAATCATTGCTCCTGTGTGCTGTGTAGTATTTCATTGTGTGAATGTACCATAATTTCTCAGTCCATTCTTTTGTGGTTGGACATTTAGGCTGTTTCCATGTTCTTGTGATGGTGAATAACGGTGTTATGAACATTGGTGTACAAATATCCTTTTGTGCCTCAGTTCTCATTTTCTCAGGATATATTCCAAGTAGTGGAATAGCTGGGTCATATGGAATTTCTATGTTCAGCTTTTTCCAAGAGGGTGAAAAGAAAACCTACAGACTGGGAACAAACATTTGGTAATACCATCTCAGACAAGAGTCTTATAACAAAAGTTTACAGAATACTCCTGGGTTTCCACAAGAAAAAGGTTGATAAACCAATGATGAAATGGGCAAAAGACATAGAATTTTAACAGAGGAAGATATTCGAATGGCAAACAGACACATGAAGAAATGTTCCAAATCACTGGAAATAAGAGAGATGCAAATCAAAACCACAATGAGGTACCATCTCACCCAGTAAAAGTGGTAAAGTTTAACAGGGCAGCAAGTTATAAATGTTGGAGAGGATGTAGCGAGAAAGGAACTATTATACATTGTTGGTGAGATTGTAAAATAGTACCATTCTGGAAGGCAGTTTGGCACTTCCTCAAAAAGGTTATAAATCTTAATGGAAGCAGACTGCCTCATCTTTCATACATGGGGTGATGGTGGGTTTGAACTATTGACTTTCCAGTTAACAGCCCAACATATACCACACCAGGCTCCTTGCTCAAAACCCTGGGTGCCCCTAAATTCTGACAGGCAGATCTGAGTGTTCTAAGTCCAAGAACTGTGGGCCCACATAGCCACATGTGCACATGCCCACACACGCATCCACGTTCACCAAGACACATGGGCTCACACACACACACACAAGCACAGACAGATACAGGCACAAATCCACACACAGAAACACACAGGTAAGCACATGGGCAATGCACACGTATACAGAAGCTTGCACGAGCACAGACACATACAAACTCACACCCAGGCTCGCGTCCACATATACACAAGGTTCTGCACAGACATACTTGTTCATGTGTAAGTATATATGCACACGCATGCGCTACACACACACAGACACACACACAGACACACACACACACACACATGTTCCACCTGCTGGTAATGAAAACACTAGCCAGCCAAGCCATTTGAGAACTTCCTCTCCAGCTGCCCTTTGCCGTTCAGTGGGGCTGAAGCCAGGGCCCTCCCCTGCCCCGCCCCCAGTTGGTTGTATAAATTCCCTCCCTTTGCCCCTGTCTGGGTACAGCACACGGCTGGCAGGAGCACCACTGTCCACCTCTGCCCACCCAGCCTGCAGACCCACCAGGACTGAAACCAGGAGCAGCATGGGTAAGGAGGGGCCTCCATTAGCCACCCACTGACCTCTGATCTGCCCCTGATTTGGAGGGAGCTCTCTCCAGCAAATAACCCTAAAACTTGAGGTGGGCTTAGACAGAATTCTAGACTCCACTCTTGGGTTCCCTCCTATCTGTGTGTGTGTGTG